AGTAAATGTAGTTCATTCTTTTTAATACACACTTCAGATTGGTTAATAAATCTTGTGTATTTTTTTTCAGTTGTGTGTATCGTTTTACCATCTTTTAATATTAAGTGCATCCATACCTTTATAAGAACATTTTATTTTTTAATTAAAATATAATTGTATAATTCTCCTCTTCTATTTTCTCTTTCCTAACACCCCCTTTTCTCTTTCAAATTCCTGGCCTCTTTTTCTTTTATTAATTAATTGTGTGCGTGCATTCCTGATATATATGTTCCTATAATATTATATACGAATTCTTAAATACATAAATAAAATTTGCTCAGTCTGTATAATATTACCCGTAGGCATATTATTTCGGGGCTGACCATTTGGTATTGGGCAGCCAATGGGCGTGCTGAGGGAATCTTCCGTGGGGAAGACTATTTGTCCTGCTTTCAGTTTCCTGTATTTCCTTGTCTAGGCGTGGAGCCCCATGAGATTTCCTTTTTCCATCTTAGCACATCCATTATTGTCACCCTTGTTTAGGGTTTTGGGGGCAGCCATATAGATGTAATTTCCTGAGTGTTGCTTGTCTTGACACCACCTCATGACACATTTTCTGTTCCTCTGGATCTTACAATCTTCTGAGCCTTAACTGCAAGAGTTGGGGGCTGAATACCACATGATCGCTTTTCTCTACATGTCAGTTGTTTGTGGTTTTCTGTAATGGTCTCCATCTGTTGAAAAAAGAAGATTCTTTGATGAGGGGTGAAACCTATATTTATCTGTGGGTGTAAGGATAAATATTTAAAATGTAGTTAGGAATTGTGCTGGTTTAGTAAAGTGGTTGTAGGTTTTCCTCCAAGAGCCATGACTTCACTAGCCCCCGAGAGTTGGCTAGGTTTCCTGTACGAGGCATGATTTTTCTCTGGTTGACTGAACCTTAAGTCCAATTAGAGAGCTGTTGGTTGCCACCAAGGTACTCATGCCACTATACACCCTTAAGGATATTGTGATGTACTGGGCATTGTTGTAGTTCATATGCATATAACTGCATTTTCTTTCCTTCCTTTGAAGTTTTCATGGCACCTTCTAGAACTATAAAACTTAGTTCTTAAGGAGAAGGTTTTCAGGTTAGATCCAGCTTGGATCCCCTGAGTCCTGTGTTTGAAGTACATGGTGTTTTAGCTTTGACTGTTGGGTGGTAACCGAAGACGACAGCTATACCTTTAATGTATTTTTGGAGTCTCTTGGACCACCCTGACCACCAACATCATTTATCTCTTACGAAGTCATTTCTGTGGTAAGAAGTTCAGCTTTGAATTTAGGAACTACATCAATTGATGGATCCTCAAATTTGAGCCAAGTCCTGGGTACATTAGTTAGTCCAGAAGCTCAGACATTTATCTTCATTAGCTCTGAGTAACTTTTGAAATCCTGTACATGTTACAGAAGAGAGACTGTCATACATAGGGGGCAGGCACACTGACCTCTACACTTTAACTCTCCTTGGTTTAGACAGAGAACTAGACAGTGATCATTTTTATCAAAATAAGTCTTTCCCTTATCAATTTGATTAGAGGCTATTTCCAACTGTCTCTAAATTTTAAAAATTTACTCTTCTTAAGACTTGCTGACCTGTATCTATATTTCTGTGGAGCATAGAAATCTGAGCAGCCACACCCAGTTTGCCACTAGCGTGACAGCATTCTCATCTGGAAGAGTAATTTATGACTGGGGAAAGAATTAGGCAAGGAAGAAAGGGAGATGAGTACAACCAGCCCCTGCTGCTGCTGTTGGAAAGGGAAGAGGCCTTTGGAGGATGCTCAGGAGAAATGAACAGAACTGCTGGGTTGAGAGAGGACAGATGGGTAGTGGCCAAGACTCGCAAATGGAACAGAAAATCCAGTAACACACAGATAGCCCAAGAAAATCATGCCAGGAGCAAGGGAATTTAGGCAAAGTGAGTCAACAAAAAAGAGAGCAAATTGTCAAAGTACCACATCCTGCTTTTTTTTTTTTTTTTTCAAAAACCTGAAAGAGGGACAGAGATAAAGTTCAAACCTTCATCCTGGGTTCCCTCTTCTTGTAGGCAGCCTTTAATCCTATCCCATCCCACCCCTTCTCTGGTTTCATCTCTTCTTCCACACCCCCCATTTATTGAAACATTTCCACATGAAAGGTTTTCATGATGTCATCACCACCCCAACCATCAGTAAAAACATAATGCAATTATTTTAATAAACAAGGAAAACAAAAGGAATGAGACTAAGTTCAGGGAAAACCAGGCAAGAACCCAAAACGTTATGTCTCCACGAAATCAGCTGAAGGAATATCCCTCTGATCATATCCAACACCACCTCAGGGAGCTTGGATGATTTCTTGTGGCTGAGAATGATTTTTCCAAGATGAAATGAACAAAATGAATAAAACAAATGAACAAATGAATAAAAGTACCATTTAAAAACTGCTTTCTCCAAAGCATGTTAAGGTCCACAGCATGACCATTTATAAAACTTTCTTTGCTTTCATTCCTAATTCCAGTTCTGTTCCAAGAAACACAAAAATGATCTCTTTTGGGATTTCCATTTCCTGGGTGAAGAATGCCAGCACATTCTATGCATGGGTTAAATAAATGGCATAAGCAACATGGTTGAAAAGCAGTGAAAGCAACAGAAGAAGGGTCATGCTGTCCTAATGGGAGCTGAGAGTTTTCAGTGCCTATGGCTTGTCTAGTAGAATACCAGCCATGAAACCTAATCCTGCCTTTAGCTGGGAAAAGCTGGATTTAACTTTTCCTTTTTTGGGGATGGCACAATATGATCACTGTTGGAAGCCTGTAGTAAGTTTAAGACTACTGAGTCATGGTTTAGTTGCTCCTTCTTAAATTACATGGATACAACATGTCATCATGTTTAATGTTACTTGTATATATGTTTTCAGATCTGATCATTTGGTATTATATTGGTGTGCTCTTCTCCCGGGGAAGACTATTTCTTTAGCTCTTGGCCTTCCTAAGTTGCTTGTAGTTTTCTATATATGGCCTTGTGAGCTTCTGCCCACCCCACCCCTCACCCTGGAGCCCTGTCCATGTTGACATGTTTATTGCTGTCATCCTTGTTCAGGTCATGGCCATTTTTAGGCAGCCATATTGGTAATATTTCATGTGTGTAACTTCTCTGACTTTTCTAGGACACACAATATCATAACAAACTCCCTTTCCCTCTGGTCCTTAAGGTCTCCCCATTCCTCTCTTCTGTAATGTGCCTTGAGCCATAGATGCATGGAATATGATATATGTAAATGTATACCTTGGAGCTGCCCTGCCTTTTTCACTAATCTCTGCATTGTGGGCAGTTGTGGTTTTCTGTGATGGTTTCCATTTGCTGTGAAGAGAAGCCTCCTTGATGAGGGATATGGTAGCCACACTTATCTTTGGTTTAAAGATAAGATGTAGAATGCTGTAAGGAATTTTGATGATTGTTTTCAAAAGTCTATGAACTTATTTAGCCTCAGGAAGCTATCTAAGTTTCCAGTACCAGGCATGCTTTTCCTCCTTAATTTCAGTTGCACAGCCGTTTGATGCTGTTGATATTTAAGTGGCACTTCTTGCACCTTTATGAATATCTGGCCATGTGGGTAATTACTGCAGTTCATAGATATTGCAGCTTTGTAGGACTGTTTCATTGCTTCACTCCTTTGGCAGCTTGCAGAGCATTTTTTGGAACCATGTAAGCTAGACCACAGGAAAGAGGCTTTCAGGTTTCAGGACAGATTCAGATTGAATCTTCTGAGTTGTGTGTCCTATGGGTGTGGTGCCTTCAGCAACAGGGACCCATCCCCAACCCCTGACAGGCAATTAAAGGTTACATCAATAATCTATCATGTTTGGGAATCATGTTTTAATGGGCCTTCAATTTTGTGTCTAAGTACATATATAATGTTGTTTAGTAATTTGAAGGTACTGTCTCAGACTTTTTTATTGCTGATTTGCTGTTTAAATTAATGAAACACTGCAACCAAAAGCACCATAGGGAGGAAAGAATTTCGTTTGCTTACACTACCATATCACACAGCCCATCATGAAATGCAGGCAGGGCAGGAAGGAACTCAAGCTGGAATGTGGTGGCAGGAGGTGATGCAGAGGTGATGGATACGTGCTACTTACGGGCTTGTCCCTCTGGCCTGCTCAGCCCACTTTCTTACAAGCCCAGGTGTTGCACCCCCCACAGTGGGCTGGGCCCTCTCACGTCAGTCATTAAGTAAGAAAATACTCTGCACGATTGCCTGCAGCTTTGTCTCATGGAAATATTTTCAAAATTGAGGTTTCTTCCTCTCCGGTGGCTCTAGTTTCTGTCAGGTTGACATAAAAACTAGCCAGCACGGGAATCCATCAGATAACCCCTTATTATCATAAGGAGATAGGAGCAGAGAGGAAGACTCTATGGACTAAGGGATGCAAAAAAGGAAATTAATACAGTATCATTTGCAGGCATTTTATGATGTTTTCTGTTCCCCAAACTCATCTAACCTCTACTTCTTACAACTTATTCCCTGGACACTTTTTTACCCTTTTGTTTAAAAATGAATGGTTGCTATAGACATATGATAAAATAGAGAGTTAAACTTCCTGCTATCATAAGGACTGAGACACCTATGAGAAATTGAGAGGCTGAAGACTTTCTTCAACATCCAGAGGATCATTCTCAAAACAAGGACTTATCAACATCAATGCTTTATCTTGAAGAAATAATTCCAGTGAAAATGAAGAAATGAGAATAGTGTCAACAAGGAGGCTTCATGCAGATATTGTGGTATTTCAAAGTGGTAGGATTTTACTTAGTGGGATAAATAAAAACATACATCTCAAATGTATGTTTTCCTAGACTTTATGATTCTCATGTCTCTGCCCCTTTTCCCTTCCAAAGGCTTTGGCGACTGGAAATGCCATGATAGCCGTCAGATCTGGCCCTGCTGTTCTCGGCCCTAGGGTGTGACATTCTGTCTTTTTGCTTGCTCCCCAGAGCATACATGAGTGTGAAGGAGCTGAAGGAGGTCTTGCAGCTCAACAGTAGTCATTTCCTCAATGTCTACTTCGCCAGCTCTGTTCGGGAAGACCTTGCAGGTGCTGCCACATGGCCCTGGGACAAGGAAGCTGTCAGTCACCTGGGTAAGTGAAATGAAGAACTGTGGTAGTGAAAAGCAAGAGTGTCTGAGGAGACTTGGGGAAGTGAGTTTGGGAACAAAAGAAAGGCATGAAATATGAAGTCAGTGAATTAAGTACTTAAGGCTGAGAATGATTGTTGGGTAAGTCAATAAAAATGTTTCAAAGTAAAAGCTAAGAGATGATAGGTAAAACACCCAGAATGTTCTAAACTGATTCTATAATCTAGAGATAGGCCAGTTCTGGTTAATCCTAAACAGGCACAGTCTGTTAATCCTAGCTAGTAATGCTAGTGTTAAAACATCACATTTCAAGTCCTGCCTGAGCTACAGAGTAAATTCAAGTCAAACCTGGGCTACTTACTGAGTAGTGATTTGGTGATAGTATTACCAAATGAAAAGTTAAAAAGAAAACTCACATTGCATTCATCAACTTTCAACAGCTACTGATGACTGCACTGGGCCTGAATAAGAATAGGCTCAGAAAGAGCCAGGCAAGTCTAGAAGAGAGAGTTAGGGAACCCTATCCCTCATTGTTAGGTAGATTCAGGAAAAGTGTCATTATTGCCTTCGGCTGTATATACACCCGGGACACAAACAGACTCCAATGGGTAGTCACAATTCAATGGTCATGCATACAACCATGATTAAGACAAATGGGCCACAAAACAGTTATAAGTCTAGGAGAGGAATAGGTAGTTGGTGGGCTAATAGGGATCTGAGGGGTTTAAGAGATGGTATAGGGGTAAAAAAGTAGTTCAAATGTGTCATATACACGTGTAGAATTGCCAAAGAGCTAACTTTACTTTTTAAAAATGAGGGCTCAGTGTCATGGTAAGTCTAATGCCAGGTATGGATGGTTGAGACAAGAAATATCACTACTTCAAGGACACCTTGGGCTATACTGTGAGATCCCTATTCAATCCATCAATTAATCAATTGAATTTTGAAGACCTAAACAAGAACAGCCACATAACACCCTTCATGCAAGTAAACTGCTGGGGTAAGGTCCAATTACTTGGATCCATTATAAATCACAGGAGGACCTAAAGGTAAAAAAGGAAACATCACAAAGGTGGCCAAAGTGTAAAACCTGGTTTAGCAGTTTGGTATCAGAAAGCTGGTGGGCATTTTGCCTAGCTCAGACACTCAAGGAGACTCTAGGAAATTCAGAAAGGCGTCAGAGGTGCAGTTCCAGTATAGCAGGTAAACTGGAGGTACCCTCCCTGTGTTCTTCATGAAGGCCAGTGTGAATTATTGTAGCGGTCCTGGTGACAGTGAGTGTACTAGAGGGTCCTAGTCAAATAATCCAATCAATAGTGAGTTGGGGTGATTTGGATTGTTTCATCAAGACAACAGCAGCAGAGAAGACACAGAGAACTGTGAGGAAGCACCTTGCTAATCACCAAGGCTCACCTTTCTGGTGGCTGTATAAGGGACTCTGACAGCAGGGTATACTCCAACCTTAAACCTTACTGAATCTCAAACCTTAAAAAGTGATTGATCTGGCCTTTGCAGAAATAAATTGGCTGTTTGGATGCAGTAGATTATTAAATCTCTTGCTATTTTATTAAATATGAAAGCATGGACAAGATTCACTCAATAATGCAAAAGTCGATAAATTGCTTGATTATTAGCGGCTTGATAACATCAGACTGTAACCAAGACAATAAGGGGTCCAGTCCCAGAGGGAAAAAATACACAAAGTTGAGCACGTTAATATAAATCATATTTTTTTCCTTTCAAGGAAATTGCCAAACTCCCAGTGAAAGGAATAGAGTGAGAGCAGAAACAGCAGCCTAGAGTTTGGTTCACACTGACCAGGGAGACAGAGTTCAGGCCTGACAGCTCAGTGAAATGGAAAGCAGAGAAGTGGGCCTGATGTCCTACTCATTGTTTTTCTCTTAGAATAATTAATAATTATTTAAGTATGCATTACCAGAGCCAAAGCCTAGAAACTAATTCCAAAATGACCTCTAAGGATTAAAAAGTGGAGCAGTGATTTCAATAGGCACATAAGAAAATGAAACTGAGACCCTGTCAAGAAGGAAGACCACTGAACACACTCTATGCACTGGGGCAGAGGGGGCTGGTTTATACTGGTTTACACTGGGCTTAAAATCCAACCAGAGGCACTCTCAATTGATGTTTGCAGGAAATTCTCTCGTCTACATCCCAGCTGTCTAACCAAAGGAAAATATCTTCTGGGAGAGAGAATGCCATCAGAAGCACTCTCCACAATTTTATATATAGTATTCAATCAATACAAAATCAAAATCACTTGATACTATCAGAAAAGAAGAGTCAAATGATGGAAAAGAAAACCAATTCACCAACAGAAAAAAATACAGTACGACCAGTAGATTCTTTAGATATTAGAGTTTTAGACACTGAGCTAATATATAAAAATAGATTATGTGTAAAAATACATAGAAGTCACGGAGATAATTAGGAGAACTGGAATCTAGAGAAAATTATTAAGTGAAAAATTTATAGCTGATAAATAGTACCTGGAATTCAAATTAAAAAATAATATAGTAGAAGGCTAATGATAAAGAATTAAAGAACCCCAAAGAAATTCTATATATTCTGTATTCTACATATTGAAAATGATGAAAAAAGTACGAATCCATCCTGAGAAATATTCAGTTATTAGATTACTTAATTAAATATTGCTAATGAAATTGGAGTTCTAGAAGACTAGAAAGGAATTGTAATGGAAGAAATGTTTGAAGAGATAATGGATGATCACCTTTCAAACTGACAAAAGTTATCCCTTTTCATATCAGATATGTTTTATAAACTCTAAACAAAATAAGTTCAAAGAAGATTATGTTTGGCCACTGCAACATAATGATGAAAAGCAAACCCAAAGAGGAAAATCTTAAAGGTAGAGTGGGGAAAATATTTGCTATCTGAAAAGTATGATTATAAGACAAGTATGTTATCTTTTCAACAAAAATTACGTGGCATGAAATTTGGAGCTGATTATCTTTTAAATGTTAACAAAATAGTTGTTAACTTAGAATTCTAAATTTGACAAAATTATCATTTGAAAAGAAGAAAATGTATAAAATATTTCAGACAAATAAAATCAGAGATAGTTTATATGAGTGCTGAAAGACATCCTGGAAAGTTTAAGAAGCAGGAAAAACAATCTCAGGTAGAGATTTAGATATATAGAAAGTAACTGATGTTTCTAGAGAGAATAAAAATATCAACAGCATGCAACAATGCCTTTAGCTTTATATATATGTAGAATTAAAATAAAATATATTACAAAAGACAAAAAGGGTGGACAGGAAATTAAAGCGCTTAAGGATCCACTTTTCCTTTGTTCAAAAAAAGCACTGACTTTGCATCATTTAGGCATAACATTAAAATTCATGCTGTTATCGTTAGCTTTTTTTCTATCTAAAGATTGTTAGTAAGAGCAAAGCGAGGCTGGCGTGATGGCTCAGTGGTTAAGTGGTTCCTGCTCATACAGCGGATCCAGGTTCAGTTCCCAGCACCCTCCTCAAGCGATCTCAACAACCTATAACTCCAGTTCCAGGGGTTCTGACACCCCTCTTCTCGACTCTGTGGGTACCCACACTCATGTGCAAACATCTACACACACACACACACACACACACACACACACACAAATCTACAAAAAGAAACCATAAAAACACCCTAATAGCCTATTACATTAATATTAATTGGACTTTGTGCCGCAGCTCAGACTAAAAGGTCATCAACTTCACCATAAACCCTATTACCTGATGTTGGAAAAAGACCAATGTTAATTACAAGAACACAAATGGTTAAAGTAAAAGTATATATAACACTTTTATTTATTTAATATATATAATAAATACAATGCAAATACTAATCCAAAGACAAGCAGATTTCTGATATCAGATGATGTACACTTTAAGGTATTAGTATCAGAAATAAATATGGCTACTTTTGATAGAAGAGCAAATTCAGATAGAAAGTGTAATTGTGATAAATTTGGATGTGATCATTACCACATCCTGAAAAAAAAAATTCATCTATAGAAACAGACAAAACTATAGTTATAATTAGTGGTTTTGAATAATTTTCTCTGGAAACAATAGGACAAATAAATTTTCAGTAGATATAAAGATATTTGAGATACATGGTTAAACTTTTGACTCAATTGACAGAATCAAACCGAGTGTTTACACAGAGCAGAACACATATTCTTTTCATATGCTATGGAAAAACTTATCAAAGGAGTTCTTGACCACAGAGTAATTTCAAAGGATTGAACTCATAAAACTTTTCTCTCTCATCTCATTGTAAATAAACTAGAAATCAAATAAATAAGACAATAAAAATAAGGAAATCTCTGAGTATCCAAAATTAAGCAATATAATTCTAATTAACCATAGAGGAAACTATTTTAAATAAAATGATTTTAACAACATGTTATACAAAAACTGTTGTGCACGTGGAGACACAAGCAGGGGAAACATATAGCTTTGTTTATTGGAAAATAAGAAAGGCTGCCTATCAAGCATGCAAAAAAGTAGCATATGAAACTCAAAGAAGAAGGAACAAGAAAGCAGTAAAATCAAGACAAGAAACAAATTTGTTAAAATTAAACTTTCATTAGAAAAAAATTAACAGAACATAAAGGTTTTGAAGAGAGAAAACAAGTCACATGCGAAGTAAGTTGATAAATTCCTAGAAAAAAAAAATCATCCTTAGTGAGGTATCCCAAAAGCAGAAGGACACGCATGGTATATACTCACTTATATTGACCTATAAGATAGGATAACATACTAAAATATGTACACCTAAAGAAGATAAACACAAAAGAGTTTCGGGGGTAAGATGATCAATCCTCATCTAGAAAGACAAAGGGGATGGACATTTGAAATAGGAGAAAACAAGTAACAGGACAGTAGCCTACCACAGAAGGCACCTGAAAGACTCTACCTAGCAATGTAGCAAAGCAGATGCTGAGACCCATAACCAAGCCTTCAGCAGAGTGTA